TCACATGTTTTGGCTTATCTGTCCTCTGCAGGTTTGTATGGTCAGATTGGAGATGCTGGTGCAGACATTTTTCGTGCAAAAGGCATTGGCCCGATAGCCAAATGGGTCGATGATCATATATTCATCTGAATACCCGTTATTTACTTACAACAATACAATTTGCTACGCAATCAATGGTGGATTTATTGACCGCTCTATTTGTTTGTATTTCCTATCACAAGCCTTGTATCTTGAGACTGAGAATTTTCGCGTTTTTTGACTCGTTTTGTGTTTGTAAACTTGTCTCAGGCTGTTGGGAACGTTTAGTCTTATCATCTTTCCCACTGACAGTGGTTTGGACTTATTTTTTCCCTTGGTCGTCTCTGATGACTTACTTGACAGCTGGGTGGTCGTTTTTTTGCAAAAATCCTGTTTTGTTTGGCTTCATTGTGTCCCGATATGTTGTACTGACATGTGGCTGGGTGGTCGTCACTTTTGCAAAAACCTTGTGTTTTTTTTTCGGATTTGTTTGGCTATGTTTTGTCCTGATAATCGCTGGAGTAGTAGTTGTGACTTGTCCCTTTGACTTGGTGGTTTATTGCGAAAATCTCATTTTTTTTGTCTTTGTTTGGTTTTATTTGGCTCCGTATTGTGGCCTAGAATGTGTCACATGATCCTGGGGATATCTCATTTTTTTCGGATTTGTTTGTTTTTATTTGCCTCTGTATTATTGCCCGGAATGTGCCACATGTATGTCGTGGGTCGTTGTCCCTTTGACTTGGTGATGATTGTGAAAAACTTGTTTTTTTTTGCATTTGTTTGGCTCTGTTCGACCTTGTATTGTTGTCCCCTTTGACTTGGTGGTCATTGCAAAAATCTCATTTTTTTCGTGTTTGTTTGGCTTTATTTAGTTCTGTATTGTTGCCCGGGTTGTGTCACATGATCCCGGGCATATGTCCTACTTCGGTCGTGGCTCGTCGTCCCTTTGACTTGGTGGTTATCGCGAAAATCTCATTTTTTTGGTGTTTGTTTGGCTTTATTTGGCTCTGTATTGTTGCCTGGTTTGCGCCACATGATCCCGGGCTTATATCCTGATTTGGTTGTGGGAATAGCTTCCCATATATGTCTGTCATGTGACCATTACACGGTTGCGAGGTTCTGCTGTCTGAACTTTCCCTGTCTGAACCGTCTGAACCTTTGATTACAAGTGGTAATCCAAGGATCTAATAGCTGGGCTTCCTCATTCGCGTATTTATCGTTGCCGATCATGACACCCCGGAGGAGAGTCGTGTCGAGATTATCCTGTTTTCTTGACCTTCGATCTTTCCATTGGGAGGTGTTGATCTCTTTGTTCATCGTCCTGTATTCATCAGTGTTGTCGGATCCTTCAAATCCTGGCACACCAATAAAGCGACCGACGTGCCATAGATCCTGAAGTGAAGGATCAACCAGAGGGTAAATCACTGATAACAATTCGAGATTTTTCACTTACCAATGGTTTTGTTAGCACGGGTGTAGCGGTGAGCGCGATTGTGACATTGGCTTGCTGACGAAGGGCCTGGACAGCGACATAAATCTTATTATATTTGCGCGCGACATGAGCTTCATCCATCACGAATAGGCCCCATTGTTGTCCGTATACCGTCTGTTTCACCCATTTGTTGTGTAGTAATGCAAAACGCGGCTGTGCCCCAGTGTCGTTGTCAGAAGCGACCCAGATAGTGTCAGAATCACTCTGTAATGCCTATGAAATGATAAATGTGAAATTTGCCTAGTGAAACGCGAAACGCGAGAGATTGACTTACAGTTTGAGGCGCTAATGCGATGCGACGCCCAGGAGACATTTTTGATTGTGTCCATATAGTTTCCCACCATTGCTCGCACTGTTGGAGTTTGCCGGTGTAAGGCAAGAGGTCGAAGGTTCCGCGACGTAAATAATGTTCGATCTCGCTCGTGAGTTGAGCATGGAGATTGGTCGGGCAGATGAGAATGGTAGGGAGGTCTGGGAGGTTAGCCCCAGTGGAAATGCATTTATATTTACCTGGATGAGAGTTAGTGTGGTCGACCGTCCAGGACGCCTGAACATTGTACTTACTAAACATTCCAGGAAATTGTTCATGTTTCTGATAGAAATCACGAAAATAGGCCGTACACGCGATGACTTCAACCGCTTGTTACAATCTCTATTGGATATTTAAGGACTACTCATGTCTTTTTACTCATTGGTTATACCATCGGACCGATGACTCATTTCCTTCACGTACACTTCCGTTCCTCTCGCATTCACAGTACCTATTATAGTACTTAGTCCTCAACAGACGGACCTGCCCTAGATAGGACCTAACTCCTATCACCGATTCCTTTCCATTATAAATACCATGTAACAGCAGTAGTATTCTCCAATACAATTCTACGCAGTTTACGCTTACAAAGCTAGACTCGTAAGATCAGACTTCTACTCAGAGGAAGACCAACTCTCGTTGGAAGACCTCCACTCAGAACTATGTTCTTGAACTTGTCTTCGGATAAGTCTCTTTATAAACCTCGACGAACCCTAAGACTTTGTTAAGCACTTTGTGTGTAACAAAAGAATTGTATTCTAACCAGAAGTCCCACCTATTTAGGTTTGGGAAGAAAAAGTCGACGACGTCGCAACGACCAACAACCAGATCCCAGAGAGCAAGAGGAAGCTCAGACAACCCACAAACAGCAACCCCACCGACGTCATCCCGACAAGAAAGGATAGCAGCACCACCTCCCTTTCCCCAACCAGACGTAACCCGACTCCACACCAGAGAACAAGCAGACGCTGTCATGCACCAAAGTTGATTGGTAGCATGGACAGGTGTCAATAACGAAGCGAATATTCAAAAAGACTCGCCTTTGCGCCACACAGGCACAGTGCCACATGGAATAGTAATCAATATTGCCTTTTTTGAACTTGTGGCTGATCAGCACCACCTCTATTAGGCAATCCAGTCACGCTCACCTTTGCTTTTCCATTTGGTACTTTCCGCATTTCGGCATTTCGGCAAATTTTCGCGTCGGCACTGGCTACACATTGCATTGCGCCCTCGCTTTTGTTGTTTCCCTTAATCCCCTTCCTTTGCCTAGCCCCACCATGGGCCCCTTCCTCTCCTTTTTATTCTCACCTGACGGTCGTTTCTGGATCCCCATTCTAATCCACTTTTTCGTCACCTCCACTCACCTCCTCCTCATCTTATTTGCACCCCCACCATTTCTGATGTCACCACTTCCTATCTGCTTCCGTCGCCAATCTGTTGACTACCACGTGCCACTGCTGATATCAGCAAAGCCCCGGCGGCTGGTCCAAATAGGGCAATAGGTCCATCTTCATGACGTCGATCTGCCATCATATACTATCAAAACATCGGTCACTCGTCTTGCCTGGTTGGAGCGTGGGTGGGTAGTTTTTGAGCTGGAGAAAGTTCATCCCCTTGCGTTGCCCATGTTCATCGCTGTCCCATTCACTTGGGTACACTTATCTTTTGTCCATCGTCTTCGCTACAGCTACACCTACCACACGCTCCCTGGGACTCACTTGTTCCAAATTGGAACTACTCCTCTCCCTCCCTCGTTTGATCAGGTGGTCTAACACAACCAGTCCATTGGTAAGGCCATGGAACTGTCGGATTTGGACTAGGTGGTGGACCGGTGGCTCCAGTTTCTTTTTCTTCAGCAGAACATTCATTTACAGTGCAATTATTTTTTTGATTTTTGAATCATTTTTATGGACACATATTTTTTAGAATGCCTGACTGACAATAAAGGAACTGTGTTGATACTGATAGTGTTTTGCCTTGCCCTTTTTTTTACTGCATCTTCCCATGACATCATGATTTTCCTGCTCTCTTTTTGCTATTGGACTTTACTTTATGGCTGTACAAACCTGTGACATTACTCACAGCATTCATTGTTCTATCCCTTTCTTTTCCTTTTTTTGACAATCTTATCCTGTACTACCTATGCAGGATTTGTCAGCGTACATTCCTTCCTTCATGTTCTTTCTCATTCTTTTTGCACAGCTATACTGTGCATAGCCTACTTTTCTTTTACTATATAAACCCCTGTATTTTACCTTGTAAAAAAAACAAGAACTCCAATCCAGACTTCTTCTCTAATCTCAAGTTCACTACTCTCTGCTACTTGTGATCCAATATAGTCACAACACTTCCCACTGCTACCACTGTCAACTGCTGTCATCGTCACTTCCCACTTTTGAAGTTATTGTTATCCCTTTTGATTAGAGTCCTTCTGAGCACTACAGTTTGTGCGTCAGGAGCGTGCTATCACTGGGAACCTTGTCACCTTGTCATCCTTGTCGTTCTCAAACCTACCTTGTGCTACCATTAGCAAGGTAGTGCTCATCTATACTCGTCACTAAGCCCCTATCTTCTATAAATTCAACTATCCCTCCTCCTTAAAACCCACACTCATACACATCTGGGTTTTTACTTTGAAGGATCTTTATACGTACCACCCCACGAACAACCAGACCACTCCACTGTTCTAGGAGGCAAAGCCCATAAACAAGTTCCGTGGAATCTGGGAGGATTGTGTGTTAGTTTGTTTTTGTGTGTGGTTTTCTAACAGCAGTTCTCATCATCAACAATGCTTTCTATGAAGCCAGAACATGTTGGCTACAGTACTACGCAGGAAGCCACCCACAGCTACTGCCCACAACACAACACGATCCCCCAGTAACCATAGAGAACCTCTACAATGAGAACGACTTTGAAGAGTTTGCAGCAAGCGGCGACCCGATACCACCTCCCACTCCACAGATACTCCCCGCCGCACCTGCTCCATCCCACATCCCACCACCACACACCATGTCTAACGCTGCAGCCCCCAAACCCACAATGATCGGGAAAATCGATGACTTCGATGGAACCCCAGATAAAGCCCAAAGGTGGATATCATCCACCGATCTACACTTTGATATCAACGACACCATCTACAACTCCGACAAGAAAAAGGTATATGTGGCCCTCAGCTACATGAAGGATGGCAACACCGCCCCATGGAGCAAAGCCAAGGTGACCAAATACAAAGAGAAGAATGCCTACCCCACATGGGCAGACTTCATGAAAACCTTCACAGCCAATTTCAGAACGGCAAACGTCAAAGGAACAGCCTCAGCCGCCTTGATGAAAATGAAGATGGAACAAGGAGAAAATGCAGTAGCGTTTAACTCAAGGTTCATGCTAGATGCTGGGAAAAGCGGCATCAACAATGAAGCCATGATCATGGTTTATCAAAAGGCTATTCGGCCACCCCTCCTTCGCGGGGCACTCACCGGAAAGGAACTACTCACCATCAAAGACTGGATGAGCACAGTAGCAAACCTAGACGCCAACTGGATCAGTGCCAACGCTATCTCGGAAGGAGCGTGGGGCGCCAGAAACAAAGAAAAACAGAACAACAGAAACCGCAAAAGTGGACCATCCACCAGCACCAGAAGATTAACCAAAGACGAAGAAGAATCAAGGAGGAAAGAGGGAAGATGCTTCATATGTAACGAGAAAGGACACATAGGAAGGAATTGTAGGAACAAAGGAAAAACTCCTGAAAGAAAGGTACGTCAAACTGAAACGGAAGATGACACCAAAACAGTGGTGGAAGAAGACAGGGTCCAAAACATCATGAGGATGTGGAGGGAGTTAGGAGAAGATCAAAGAACAGAGGCGATGAAAGAATTAGAAGACGAGGGTTTTTGAAACGACGGACTACCCCGATGTTAGTACCATCAAAAATGGCAACTGTAACAATAGCGACAATCAATGCCAACTCTTTACGAATTGATTGCTCGTTGAAACAGAAAACCATCGGAACCAAAGCCCTGATAGATTCAGGAGCTACAGACGACTTCATGGACACAAAATTTGCCATCAGACACCGACTCCCCCTCCAAAAACTCCCAACTCCTATAACATGTAAAAATGTTGATGGAACCACGAACAAAAACGGAAAAATTACGCATTGCATCTATCAGAGGATAGATACAGGAGGACAAAACAGGTTCACAAAGTTCCTATTGACCGGACTAGACGGAGAAGACGTATTACTGGGATTTCCCTGGTTACGGAAAGTCAATCCTGTCATTAACTGGAAAGACAAGGAATTACCAAACTCGGACAAACACTCCATCAGGATGAACCAAACAACCACGGAAACAAAAATCAGGATAACCACAGTAAACAAAGACGTGTATAAGACCATTCATAGATATGTATCTGACCAAACACCCTATCCTTGAACCACGATTCGATTAAAGGTCAACTTGGCAATGGAACACGCGCAAATACACGGAGAAAAGAAGGAGCATAACCTCCCGGATGAATATAAAGGATATTCGGACGTCTTTGACAAAAAGAAGTCGGAAAGACTCCCCAAGCGACGGGAATATGATCATGCAATTAACATGAAACCAGAATTTGTACCAACAGATTGCAAGTTATACCCATTGGCACCAAAGGAAGACGAAGCATTAACGGAGTTCTTAACGGAAAACTACAGAAAGGGATACATCAGGCCGAGCAAGCCGCCACAGGTGTCCCCTTTCTTCTTCATCGGCAAGAAGGACGGATCACTCCGACCGTGCCAAGATTACAGAAAACTGAACACATATACCATGAAAGACCCCTATCCACTACCCCTGATACCCGACCTCATCAAAAAATTGAAAGGAGCCACCATCTTTACAAAACTAGATCTACGTTGGGGATACAACAACGTAAGGATAAAAGAAGGAGACAAATGGAAAGCTGCGTTTAAAACCAGCAAAGGAGTGTTTGAACCAATGGTCATGTTCTTTGGCATGTGCAATTCACCGGCAACATTCCAAAGGCTGATGAACGACAAATTCAAAGACTACATCAATGAAGGTTGGATGATCATATACATGGACGACATCCTCATCTTTGACACCAACATCAAAAGACTCTGACTCCGAACAAAACAGGTTCTACAAAGACTACGCAATAACGACCTATTCCTAAAACTAGAAAAATGCACCTTCGAAGCAGAAACCATCAAATATTTGGGAATGATCGTTTCCCACAATCAAATATCAATGGATCCAGCCAAACTTGCTGGAATCCGCGATTGGCCAATCCCAAAAGACACCAAAGGCGTAAGGAAGTTTTTAGGTTATGGAAACTTCTACAGGAAGTTTATTGGTCATTACTCTGACCTTGCCAGACCCTTGAATGCCTTACTAGAAAAGGATAGGAAGTGGAACTGGACCCAAACTGAAGACAACGCTTTCAAATTGATGAAACAAAAATTCCTCGAATCCCCCGTAACACAAATTCCCGACTCCTCGAAACCGTAAAAAATTGCTGCAGACGCCAACAAACACGCCACAGGAGCTGTATTAATGCAACCCGATGACCAAGGACAATGGCACCCATGTGCATTTTTCTCCAAAACTCTATTCCCCACTGAAAAGAACTACCAAATCTACGACAAAGAGTTATTAACGGTAATGAGAGCTTTAAAAGAGTGGAAACACTTACGTACCAGGAACCCACATGGTGGTACCCGACGCACTCTTAAGAAGACCTGATTTATACGTCGAAACAGAAGGAGATGACGATGACACACCAATGATACCCGCCTCAGTGTTCCTGTATCACACACGAACAATTAAAAACACAATCGAGCAAGCCATGCTCACAAACAATAATTATCCAGGAAGAACAAAGAAAGACGATTGGAGAAAAGAAGAAGGACAGTTCTTTTATCAAAATAAATTACTGATTGACAAAGTAGAGGAACAAAAGATGATCATCAAAGATCACCACGATTTCCTGTCCGCAGGACACCCAGGAAGGCTCAAAACCTACCAGTTGATCAAAAAGGCCTATTGGTGGCCAGGAATGATGAAACAAGTGGAAGAATACGTGAAAGGATGTGCAACTTGTCAACAAGCGAAAGTAAACGCGCGTCCCACCACCGTACCATTAATCCCAAACCAGACCCCAAAAACCACCGAACCGATGAAGTACCTATCCGTAGACTTCATAACTGATTTACCAGAATCTTCAGGATACAACAGTATAATGGTCGTGGTAGACCAAGGACTTAGTAAGGGGGTAATCCTCTCACCTTGTCATAAAACCATTGACACACTCAAAACCGCACGAATCTTTCACGATTCTATCTTCAAACAATTCGGATTGCACGATAAACTCATATCCGACAGGGGACCACAGTTTGCCTCTGAAGTATCCAAAGAACTCCACAAACTCCTGAACATTGAAACTGCACTTTCCTCTGCGTATCATCCCCAGACGGATGGACAAACAGAACGATCCAATCAAGGACTGGAGATCTACCTCCGCATATTCTGCCAGAACCAACCACACAGCTGGGCAAAATACCTTACAACCGCCAAATTCTGTCACAATCAAAGACCACACTCCACAAACAACCAATCACCATTCTACCTCCTCATGGGATATGAACCCCGAGGAATCCCGACTAAACACAGATCTGCGAATATCCCATCAGTGGAAAAACGATTATCCAAATTGCTTAGGGCAAGGGAAAACGCCCTAAAAGCACACGAACTTGCGAGAAGCAAGATGATGAAACGAAACAACGGAAAGTTCACGCAATTCTCCGAAGGACAAAAGGTGTGGTTAGAGAACACCAACCTGCGAGAAAAAGCCACCAAATACAAGAAGTGGGGTGATTGTCTCTTCAACGCAGCTTGTGGTCCTTCTTATAGGCTTCCAGTATCTCCGCAGCATTGGTTAAATGTTCTTCCGGTTCCCATGAGTTTTCGGAATGAGGGTAATGGCGCCATTTAATCAGGTAGCGGCGCCCGCATTTCCAGGGTTTGTGTCTAAGAATACTTTCTACTTTGTATTCTTCTTCTTTGTTGACCAGGTCAGGTGGTGGTCGGAAAAAATTTGGGCCGTGAGTGTTGGTTTCCATATATGGCATGAGAAGGGATGCGTGGAAAACATGGTGTATCCTCCAATGGGGAGGCAGGGATAGTCGGTAGTTCACCGGGGAAATCTTTTCTTGGGTTGCAAAAAGGTCTGATGTGTTTCATGTTGAACTACCAACAATCCTCTGTCTCTCAACACAAAACATGTCTACTTCTAACTCCACCGGCTTCCCTATCACCACCTACTCGATACCCGGCGACGCCAACTTGCTAGCCGACAAACGAGTGTCTTTCGCCTGTGGGCAACGACACAACCAAGCCGACGTCACTGACGCCATAAAATTAATGTCAGCAAAAAACGCCTATACCTATCTCTTTTACAAGAGTGAAAAATGCTGCCCCCATGTGTATCACGCTCTTTCTTCCATGCATACCTTCCTTGCCATAGACCTCATAGCTGACAAACTCTTAAAAGCCATAGACTCAATACATTCGTTGGAAAGATTCGCGGCTCAGCAGTCAAGACTTGAGTATCTGTCGGGCACTCCGGATGGAAAAGTTAGTTTTGGAATCTTTGGAACGACACTTCAGGATGAGCTCCTCAAATGGGCAGATGGACTTGGCAAGGGAATATTTGGAATCAGGCAGGAGGACATTGCTAAACAAAGCTCGCACGCGGATAGAGCGAGACGGTTGTACGAGTACTCCTCCACCCGGTTTGTCCCTCCGGTCCCTGTCGCACCCAGACCAGACCAGTGTTACCCCGGAGCGCACTTACCACATCATCACCCGTCGACCTACGCCCATCCCTTTGGAGGAAAAATATATTCCCACCGTCCCAACCAGCCCGATCTCACAAGAGTCGAGCCACTCCAGTCCCCGTTCCATTGGGTCGAACCCAAAACCACTGTCTCCCCCATCGTCTCCACCTCGACCAGTGCCAAACACCCAAACCCGTCACCTGACGAACCGATGGGGAGCCCAACGTGGCCGGCAAGAGGCGATACTCCAGATCCCCGCTGCCAGAACTCCATCAAAATGACAGTCTCGTATGTCGAAGGGACAGAAAGACAGTCCGCCTGGCGCAATGCACAGGCCTGAGACTGGCTCTCCCTCCAACCCAATCAACGTAGATGACGATGCAGCCATGATCGATCAGTTATACGCAGGAATGTACGACCTGGGAGATGACAATCCAACCACTCCCCAATCCGACACCTCATCCAACACCCGACAAAGATACCATGAAGGTGTTCGTAACAACGCTCCATACTGCCAAAACTGCGGTTGGAGCGATCATCGCACATACTATTGCGAAGCCTACTATTCCCCCAACTGTGACCGTCGTGCACCGGGACATAGTTTCAATTGGTGTCCCATCCGCAGGGAAGACAAAGATAGGATTCTGATGGAAGGATTACATGGAGATGTCAGCTACAACGACAGTTACAATATGGACGGTGAAGGTACCGAATTTCGGTGAAACTCGGAGCAAGTAAGGGGGTAATGTTACAATCTCTATTGGATATTTAAGGACTACTCATTTCTTTTTACTCATCGGTTATACCATCGGACCGATGACTCATTTCCTTTACGTACACTTCTGTTCCTCTCGCATTCACAGTACCTATTATAGTACTTAGTCCTCAACAGACAGACCTGCCCTAGATAGGACCTAACTCCTATCACCGATTCCTTTCCATTATAAATACCATGTAACAGCAGTAGTATTCTCCAATACAATTCTACGCAGTTTACGCTTACAAAGCTAGACTCGTAAGATCAGACTTCTACTCAGAGGAAGACCAACTCTCGTTGGAAGACCTCCACTCAGAACTATGTTCTTGAACTTGTCTTCGGATAAGTCTCTTTATAAACCTCGACGAACCCTAAGACTTTGTTAAGCACTTCGTGCGTAACCCCGCTTGCATCATTTTCCCTACGCCGACTTTGTCCATTAACAGCAATGGCTCTCCCTTCAATACCTTGTCCATCATCTTTACGATGCCGACCAGTTGGTGCCATTTAGGTTGAAGGGGGACCGCTGTGTTGTTTTCGTCGAGCCATGTCTGGCCTTTGATGGACCACGGTTTAATACTGGCCGTTGGATCGGTTTTGGTCTGGAAGTGTGGGAGGGCGCGCGTCTGTTCTAGTCCCAGCATCCGCCAAAGATCGTCTTCCGATTTATCTGCAAAGTCTTCCACACCTTCTTTCCATGCGATCACAGGCGGCAACTCGAAGTCTAGGGTGGGCATGGCCTGCATGTCCTGATCGGTCAAGCGCTCCATGAATTTGTGAATGGCACGTTCCAGACCTGAGACTTGGTCTGTGTTAGCAAGTTTTTCTAATGCGTCTCGCAGCAATTTAGGAACTCCTATAGACAAAATTAAAACCAACAAGGTAAGCACTGAAAACACTTCGAAACGAGTTGCGACTTACGCATCTTGTTTGATTTTCCACTCTTATAAAGACCCATTGCTCCGAGCATGTCGATAAGTTGTCGGCGTTGATCTTCAATCTGCTTGACTGACTCGGGATTGGCGTAGTGCTGCAACAATGTGATAAGCTTATCACTGCTGGCCAGATACCGTCTGATGCGAGCTGATGTGGGGGTGACGTTGCTTGTAGTTAGTTCTGTGAGAGCGAGAAAGATTGTTGTTAGAATAATAGTCAAAGAGTTAGAAGTGCGCATACCGGTCCAAGATGTTTTCACGTTTGCCTGCAATTGAACCATTTTCACGTGTTCGCAATTTAGATTCTTGCGGTAGCGGTTCCAAGTGCACGCTATGACTCGCTCAATAAAGTCCTGTACGTTATCTTTGAGGAGGGATGCGGTGGTGTCTACAGCGCCATCCTCTCCAAAGAGAGCATGAGCGAGGAATGGATATGCTCATTGCACCTGAGCTCGTTCCAATGTTGGGAGCTATGGGGTTAGAAAATAAGATATTAGTATATGACAACATTCCGAAATGAGAATACTTAGAGACATTGCCTCATAAGGGCCACAGAATTGCTCTTTCAACGTAGAGTCAATGAGATCCTGAACCTTCCACACCAACTTCCAATTTGCGCTGACAAAGGATGTCCAAGCGGTACGACCTTCAACGTGCGAGTCTGATTTGCACTGCGTGACTTGCAATTTCTCGTCGGCAGGGGCTGCAAAGAACAATGAGACACATGATGATACCGCCTCACGAGTTTGGGCGCTCCAATGAACAATATTGTGAGGGCCATCGTTGACAAGCCATGGGGCTGTATGATATTCAGTGAGCAATTGCCAATGACCCTATCCCCAAGGATCATTGTCGGGATCTGCGAGAGCTAGCAAGGCGCCGGCGATGGTGAAGGAGGGCATAATGTTGAATTTATTGTGAGAGATATGGATATGGTGTTATGATGTGAAGTGTTGTGCTAAATGGTTAGCAGCAGATTGCTCAAGAGTCACTTTATCAAAAAATTTCAAAGTCCGACCCCTTTGCCCACATGCACGAGTTGCATACTGTGGACTGATAGCATCAGGCATCAAGGCATTGTCAAGGGTGAGCTTTCTAAAATGCCGATCAAACTGAGTATCTCATACGAAGTGTTTGTATGATTATGTCACATTGCTTCGCTACTTATTTTATGTATAGAGTGTAATGCGAAACAAAGCTAATATGATGTTACAGGTTGTCAAAGCAAAGCAAAGAGCTTGTCGGGCTTCCAGGACGCCCCACTGTTGCAGTAGGTAAGGTTCTCTTTTTAAAGTGTCACAATTGCAAGGATATGGGCTTCCCAGACGCCCCTCGGTGGCACTGCCTGAAAGAGTGCTTGGACAAAGCTGCACAAAGCACATTCTGGGTGTCCAGGATGCCCCATTGTGGCATTGAGCTTGGGAATGCTTTTTTAAGCGCTGTAAAGCACTCCTGAGTGCATTCCGGGTGTCCAGGATGCCCACCTGTGGCACTGAGCTTGGGATTGCTTTGCAAAGCACTGCTCAGCGCATTCCGGGCGTCCAGGATGCCCCAATGTGGCACTGAGCTCAGCATTGACGTCTGATCCATACTATGTTATACTTTTCGGGAAATCTTTCTTCTATCTAGTGATTGCTTTAGCAATTTCTTCCTCATCCACATTGCCTTCATAGAACTTTTCATGCAGGGACTCCAGTGGTAAACCTTTGATAACATCTGGAGAATCTACAACATTCCCCAGTGACTTACTCATCTTGGCAGAATGAGCATCTCACATCATCCTATGGCATAACACTTCTTTGAAAGGTACTTGTCTAGTTACTTGTCTGGTTAAGATAAATGTGAAGTACCCAGAAGAAAAGAATGTCCCAACCTACCTCTAGCATAGATGACACATAAGATTGTGCAAAGCGCTGCTGAGGGTGTTCTGGGCTTCCCAGACGCCCCAAAGTGGCACTGCCCAACCACTGTGCCAAGCACCATACAGTGCATGTCTGGGCGCCGAGTGTCTGGTACCTTTGCTACCCTCCCTGAAGGGTCAGTGCAATCCAGGCGTCGAAGACGCCCAAATAGGTTGCCACAGGACTTTGCAACTGAGGTGTGCATCACACCTTTGTGTTCATATCACACCACTATGTTACGTCACGATGCAATCAACCAAAGTAATGCAATGTGTACTACCTGCTCCTGTCAAATTGTAACCCCTAGACTTGGTGTGCAAGCGCAAATGCCAGACCTCAACCCACAGCGCATATAGTTTGCATCTTACGGCATACCACAGGTGCAGTTTGGGGCGTCCAAGAAGCCCCTTTACATGCCTTTCTCCCATGGCAGTAGGCAAGTGCTTGTGTGGATGTATACCCATGCCCTCAAAAGCATGAAAATTTGGGTAAATTCCAACCCTAGGAATGGGTCTGAACCAACCTACGATGTCTCATAACCTTATTGTCCAGGTATTTTGCAAGGGATTGCGTGGATTTGTTGTCCACCTTGACTTGTATTTGGTCTGAATCAACGGTGCATGGCAGTGGTGATTTGGCCAAGGGAACTGTCAGTGACTTGGTTGGTTCGTACTTTTTGCTTGGCTTTGTTGTGTGTTGTTGGTATTTGTGGTTGTCCTACTCTAACCTTTTAACCAGGCTTGCTTTGCTTTATTGTGTGTTGTTGGTATTTGTGGTTGTCCTACTCTAACATATTAACCAGGCCCCCCCAACCCCCCAAGGGGGGCTTATCACTACGTTCCCGACGCTGATTCTAACTAGCGTATGATTCATTTCCCCCCGGCTTTTGGTAAAAGTCCTGTTTTTCTTTTGACTCACTTTTGCTACACGGACTTTGCGTTGATTTTTCTTGAATGACTTTTGTATTATTTTGTGTCATTTAGTACCTTGATATTGTCCATGTATGGGGCAGATTGCACGTGGGCTCTGTATCATTCTTTGTCTTTGAAATCCACTATCTGATGGAATTTCACGTATTGGCAACCTTGACTTTGACTGTGGGTACTGGTTTATTTGGTGACTCAGAGTGATCCTGGAGTTTGTTGGTACTACTTGTGTGCTTGGCTGGGATGTACTTGCTATTTGAACAGAATTATTCACCGCTGCCTTATGCCACATTTCCTTATCACAGGTAGTATGACTATGATTGACAGATGACTGACTTTTCTTTTTTTCTACTGTTTTTTTCATTACAGTCTGAGTGCTGGGAGTCATAGATAATAGCACTCACATGCCTTGTCTGTGGGTGCGGAGCGGTGCCTGCACATTTAAAGCCGGACTTGAAGCTTCAAAAACCAGAGTACACTTTTTGACCCATGGATGCATGAATGAGATTTTCTTTTTCTGATGTTTATTTTACTATAGCTCTTGTACTGGGAGTCATAGATAATAGCTCTCACATGCTCTGTCCACGGGCGCGGATTTGTAGCTGTACATGTCAACCCGGACTCAGAGCATCACAAACTGGAGTACACTTTTTGACTGATAAACAGATAACTGAGACTTTTTTTTCTCTACAGTTTATTTCATTACAGTCTGTGTATTGGGAGTCATAGATAATAGCCCTTGCATGCTTGTTCCGCGGGTGCGGAGCAGTGGCTGCACATTTGAAGTCAGACTTGAAGCTTCAAAAACCGGAGTGCGCTTTTTGACCTGTAAATACTTGAGTGAGATTTTTTTTGTTTTATTGCTTATTCTGTCAGAGTTTTTGTACTATGAGTTGTAGATAATGGCCTGCGGATGCTATCCCTGTCTTCCGCGGGTGGTGGCTGTGCAAAGAAGCCCGGACTTGAAGCTTCAGAAACTGGAGTGTGCTTTGTGACCCATAGATGCATTGACTGTTTTTGTTTTTGCAGGTGATCATTTGAGGAGCTTTGTTCCTCTTATTGGAGGCCCTCCATCCATCTTTAGCAAAGTCTATATGAAATCTTTCAAACATCTCCGTATTGTAGTTGTCGGTGGTGCCAAACCATGTGATAAACTCCTGGTAGTGTAAGAGGGAATGAAATTTAGGTATGTTGAAATGGTCCCTGACTCCAAGACGAATAAGGATATCCTTGTGTTGGTGAAAAATATTGAGAGATTGGGCAAGGTAGCCCAAGGTGGTATCATCATGTGTCGGGTATTGTGTTATCTGAATAAAGTCTAAAAGTGATCAATAGGTGATGATAGCATGACATGGAAGTTTGCCAATAAGGCATCCCAACAGTATCTTTGCCATATCTTTCCGTTCCTTCCCCCCTATTTGACCAAGAGCAGAAAAGCCATTCTTGAAATAACGAACACCAAAGCAGGGAGGAAGTGCTCTGTGTTACGATTTGTCTACCTCTATTACGGACTACTCATTTCTCTTTACTCATCGGTTATACCATCGGACCGATGACTCACGTCCCTCACATACACTTCCGCTCCTCTCGCACTTCTATTACTTTGTATAGTACTCAGTCCTCAATGGACAGACCTACCCTAGATAGGACGTAACTCCTATCACCGACTTACTTCTCTATAAATACGCTTGTAACAGTAGTAGTATTCTCCAATACAATTCTACGCAGTTCAGGCTTACAAAGCTAGAACTTCCAAGATCAGACTTCCACACGGAAGAAGACCAACAACCGTTGGAATCCCTCTATTCAGAATTACATCCTCGAACTTGTCTTCGGATAAGTCTCTTTGAACAAACTCGACGAACCCTCAGACTTTGTTAAGCACTTTGTGCGTAACAAAAGAATCGTATTCCATACCAGAAGTCCCACCTATTTAGGTTTGGGAAGAAAAAGCCGACAATACGTCGCAACGACCGAGAACCAGATCTCAGAGAGCAGGAAGAAGCTCAGACGATTTACAGACACAGGCAGCAACACCCCCGACATCGTCCAGACAAGGAAGGATAGCAGCACCACCCCCCTTCCCTCAACCAGACGTCACCTGACTCCACACCAGAGAACAGGCAGACGCATTCTACGAAGCCAGAACACGTTGGCTACAGTTCTACGCGGAAAGTCATCCACAACTAATCCCCAGAACACAACACGATCCTCCAGTAACCACAGAAAACATCTACAACGAAGACGACTTCGAAGAATACGCAGCGGAAGGTGAACCAATACCCCTTCCCACACCACAGATACTCCCCACCGCACCCAACCCATCTCCTACCCCACCTACCTACACCATGTCAAACGCTACGACACCCAAACCCACTATGATTGGGAAAATCGACAACTTTGATGGGACCCCAGACAAGGCCCAAAGATGGATATCATCCACTGACTTACACTTTGACATCAACGACACCATTTATACCTCGGACAAGAAAAAGGTGTACGTGGCTCTCAGCTACATGAAGGACGGAACCGCCGCCTCATGGAGTGAAGCCAAGATGACCAAATACAAAGACAAGAATGCCTACCCCACATGGGCAGATTTTATGAAAACGTTCACAGCCAGTTTCAGAACAGCAAATGTCAAAGGAACGGCTTCGGCCGCCTTGATGAAAATGAGGATGGAACCAGGAGAAAATGCAGTGGCATTCAACTCGAGGTTTATGCTAGATGCCGGGAAAAGTGGCATCAACAACGAAGCCATGATCATGGTTTATCAAAAGGCAATCCGACCCCCCCTCCTCCGCGGAGCGCTCACCGGAAAGGAACTGGTCACCATTGAAGACTGGATGAACACGGTGGCCAACCTAGATGCCAACTGGATCAGTGCCAACGCCATCTCGGAAGGAACGTGGGGGACCAGAAACAAAGAAAGACAGTACGACAAAAATCGCAAAAGTGGACCATCCACCAGCGTGAAAAGGCTGACCAAAGACGAAGAAGAAACCAGGAGGAAGGAAGGAAGGTGCTTCATATGCAACGAAAAAGGACACATCGGGAGGAATTATAGGAACAAAGGAGAGACTCCCGAAAGAAAGGTACGTCAAACCAAAACTGAAGATGACGTCAAGACAGTGGTAGAAGAAGACAAGGTCCAAAACATCATGAGGATGTGGAGGGAGTTGGGAGAAGACCAAAAAGCTGAGGCGATGAAAGAATTAGAAGACAAGGGTTTTTGAAACGACA